ATGCCCCAACCGGGAATCAAACCGGCAACATGGGAATGTGCCCTGACTGGGAACTGAGCCCAGCACTTTTTGGTGCAGGGGAGACACTCCAACCAACTGAGCCACGCTGGCCAGGGCCCCAGCCAGGATTTTAACGCTGGTCTCCAAAGCTTGTCCTCAGTCCCCTTCCAAAGGGGGGGCCCCTTCTCCCCCAATTTCTGGGCGGGTAATGCCATGAGAATAAATGGCTTAAAAAGACTTCCACTTAGTAAAGGCGAGTGAAGAAGGGCATGATGAAAAGGTCCAAATAAATATCAAGAAGAGAGCAGCTTGGCACAAATGCATCAGGGAAGGCTTCCTGGAGGGAGCTGGGCACAGAGGCAGACATGGCCCTGAGTAAGGGTGGCGGTGAGGTGTGGCCTGTCCCCCGGAGGATGACAACGGGAGCACAATGGCTCTGCTGCACCACAGCCTGTGCTGGGGCTCCTGACCGGGACCTGCTTTTTCCTGGGGTCCAGGTCCTTGGCCCCAGAAAAGCGGGACAGACAGGTTTCCAGTGACTCCGGACCTGGGCCCATTCCCAGCCGTGCCGCCCTCTTGCTGCAGGATTTGGGCCTCGCCAACCTTGTCCACCTGAGAAAGGAGGGCTGTGCTCACAAGCTGGGTGCAGCTGAAGGTCAGAGCGAGCAGAACAGCGCCCGGCCCGGTTCAGGGCAAGCTCTGAGCAATGCGGCCCCTCCCTTCCAGGGCGCCGTACCCCTGGAGCAGGCGCAGAACCCCACTTCAGAGCGTGTGCGGTGGTCAGACCCTGCAGCCAGGCTGCCCCACTCATTCTTGCTGTGAGAGCTTGAATGTTACTTAACCTAGTTCTATACAGTTTCCTCATCTGTACAATAAAGATGACAGTGTAAACCAGGGTCCCTTATTTAAAACCAGTGACGGCAGATGGTTTCAGATCTTTTCTGATTGTGAAGTCTAATGCCCAAATCCCATGGCTCCCCTGTCCTCAGGGTCCTCCCATGGCTCCCCTGTCCTCAGGGTCCTCCCATGGCTCCCCTGTCCTCAGGGTAATGTGCAGTCAATGTCACATGAGGCCTTTCATGACTGGACTCCTGTCTCCAGCCTCAGGTCTTCCTCTGCCCTGCACATCCTACACTTTAGCTTTGATATCTCTTTTCAGTTTCTCAGATACACTGGGCTCTCTCTCTGCAGGCTGGTGCACTTGCTGTGTCTTCTGCCTGA